AAATCAATAAAATGAGAGAGGCCTGCATGGACCAACCATGCTCCTGTGCCAGGAGCTGCACAGCATCTAAATCCTTGGTGCTTGGGATCAAAACAAACAACTAAAAGAAAATGAAAGTGAGAGGCCTCTGAGCCTTTCATGGGCCGTGGGGGGTGGAGGAGTGAGCCTCCGCACCTGCGCACAGGTGCATCAGGGACATGCTTGGTTTTGTGTCTTGGGTTCTGGGAGCCCTTTACCACCTCTACTTGCCAGGGAATCAGGAGAAGAGCAGCTGTGCTGCATCCGAACAGGATCTTTGGAGGCAAATAACAGCACGTATCAGCACAGGGAAACATGTCTTCAGAATGATAGTGCTGGCTATCTGCCACATCTTAATTCAACACACAGCTCAACTGCTCGGGAAAGGCCAGAGGAAACCGGCAAAAAATAAGCACATTTGTTGTATCAGTGCAGCTGGGTTTCCATGTGAAAGCACAGAAACCACAGTCTATCCCACAGGATAGACTGTGTTTATTCTTTCCTGGTCAGGTTCAGCTTAACAAGGCCTGGGTCCCTGTGTTAGCTCGAGGAAGGCTGAGCTCTACTCCGGGCCCACCGCTCTTACTTCTCTTTAACAGAGCCGTTTCCCAAGAGGGCCTCCAATTTCGCCTGGGATCCTTCTGAGGTCTGCAAAACCATCCTGAACCTTCCCACTCACCCCACAAGGGGCACCTCTGCTCCTAGGGGCGGCTCCTGCCACTCATTGCAGCCCCTGGCTACAAGCTGTCCAGGCCTCTCGGAATGTGAGCTCTCGTTGGGAGAGGCCACACGTCTTCATCCCCCCAAGGGCCTCACACAGCATGTGCCACATGGATGACGATAAGTGCTTGCCAATGCAAAGATCTGAAAGTGCAGACTTAACTCTGCCTGCATCTAAGAACCATTGGAGAAGTCAATTTAGTTAACAAGCAAACAAGAAAAAAAAAATGAAAATGGGTGGCATAAAGGTTAGATAGCACATACATGAAATGCTTTCTGCCTTCCTCTTGGTTTGTAAGCTAGCCTGCTGAAATAAGCTGTAGGCTTCCAGAAACCTCTGCGTCTATCCCTTCCTAGGTGCTCAGGGGCATGGCTTAGGGATCATTCCTTTTGTGTCCCTCCGCAGATGAGGTGTCTTAGTTTTAGTTAGTTCCTTTAGCATCCTGTGCTTGAGAGGGCAAGATGTCATCCATGGCTAAATAACGAATAAGTTTTGGTTCTTAAAAAGGTACCAGCACAACTGAAGACGTCTCAAGCTTTAAGAATCCCATGCAAATGAGATTTTACTGGCTAATGCTGAAGCCAAGGCATCCATCCCGCCAAGGTTCCAGAGCCCTGTTGCAGAACTGGAGCCAGGGCCCACCCCACAGGAACTAACATCCCTGCCTCAACAACTTCCTGTTCTAGGTGGCAGGCGGGAAAATGAAAATGAAACCATTTAAAAAGTATCTAAAAATGCCACTGGGATGAATAGAAGGAAGAAAATGAAAGCAGGGGTGGGGCTGCCGTATGAAATGTGGTTATCAGGGAAGTCACTGTGGGAGCCATGTATTTGATTAGGGCCTAAGTGGGGAGGAGCTCTCTGGGCAGAGGGGAGCCTCTGGGCAGATCCTCATATGGGAGTGACTCAGCCGATGTGAGGGGAGATAGAAAGGGTGTGCATGGCCTATCTATCTGTCTGTCTATCTATCTATCTATCTATCTATCTATCTATCTATCTATGTATCTATCAATCAATCATCTATCTTTCTATTTATCTATCTATCATGGGGGCTTCTGAGGCCACTGTAGGAAGTCTGGCCTTTACTTGTAGAGAAACAGAAGCCACTAGATGTCTGGGAGCAGCGGGTACGTGGCCTGATGTCATTTAAAGGGTTACTCTGGCTGCTGTGTGGGGTCAGCAGTGGGTGGGGCAGGAGGTGGCAGTGCTGGTGGGCCAGGCCAGGGAGGAGTGGGGAGCGGCAAGGGGTTGCAGGCTGATGCCAGGCACCTGCCAAGAGGATCCCCAGCACAGAGGGACGTAAAGGAGGCCTGGGACCCTGCAAGGTGCAGTTGCCCTGGACCATGATGGGGAGACTGCAGGGAGCAGGTGTAGACGAGGAGAGCGGGAGCTTGGCTTTGACTGGGTTTGGCCTGAGGTGCTGTGTAGACAGTGTCAGCAAATGGATCTGAAGGTGGTAAAGAGACAGATGGGATCACCAGGCCCTCCTCCAGGGCAATGCTGGGTTTGATTTCCAATTACAGGGGCAGTTTCAACCCTGCTGGGGTAGGCATCTCTCCCGGATGGCTGACTAACCCGGCAGACTCACCCTAGGATGTCCTTCTTCAGTTGCCTCTATACAATTGGCTTCTCGACGGTTCTATGGCCTCTTTTTAAGAGCTCACTGGCTCCCTTATTAATTAATGAGTTAAATAAAATCTTGGACACATGTTGATTGATTTTGTCTGAGAATCACAATTTGACCATTTAAAAATTATATGGTGACCACACCCAGTAGCGATGCTGGTTGGGTGGTTGGCTTTTTGAACCTAGAGTCCTGACCCAGGCCAGGCTGAGGTACACAGGTGAGAGTTGTCCACATAGAAGGGGTACTTATAGCCACAAGACAGAACGATTGGAGGAGCCATCCCTATGATCCGTGCCTTATCTCATCTAACTTTCATAACTGTCCACAACAGTAAACATGTTTATTATTAAAATTATCTCCATTTTACAGATGAGGAAACTGAATCAGGGAGGCTGAGTAACTTGACAGAGTCCACAGAGCCAGAACTCGAACCCAGGCAGTTGGCTAGCGAACCTTCCCTTGAAACCAGTAGTCCTCAATCTGGGGACACTGGGCAATGGCTGGAGACATTTGTGATGGTCACAACTGGAGGGGGAAAGGGCGAATATTACAGCATCTCACAGGGATGCTGCCTAATGATCTGTGGTGCACAGGACCGTCCCCTACAGCACAGAACTGCTCAGCCCCAAATGTCACTAGCATGGACATGCAGAAACTCTGACCTCAGCCGTGACACTGCCACCCTCCAGAGCAGGTGGCCTCCTCTTCCACACGTCTCCACTGCCCTTCTCACACCTGCAGAGATTTACTTGCTATTAACAACTTCTTCAGGATCCAGGGTCCCCTCCACACTGTGAACTTCGTTTGCCACCAAATTCCCAGTGCTCAGGCAAATGGCCGGCAAATACTAAACATCTGCGCTACATTGAGTCTGGGATTTCTGATATATCTGTGCTGACTTTTTAAAACTCTCAAAGATGTGTGATAGAGAAGCAGTATGAGAAAGTGTGACATTTACATGCTACGAATTTGTATTACGTATAAAATGCATTATTGCACTGAGCTTAGGAAATGAGACTAGCCAGAAAACCTGAAGCCCAGCATCCGGGCTTCAGGTCCTGGCTGACGCTAATTTTTCATTGTCCTTGAAGCTAATCAAGCCTGTGGAAACAGCAGCACCAAATTGACTAAACGAGATTTTCAATTAACTCAAACAGATGGCTGAAATTTTCCAGGTGACTTTCCATATTAATTCAGTGAGTTTGCTGGACCAGGCCCCAGGAGGCTTGGCAGGGATAGGGGCTGAAAGGAAAACAATAAAAAATATGGAACTTCAGGAGAAAAGCCAAAGCAATCATCTGAACTTTAAAAAAAATCTCAGCAAAAATATCACCAGCCAAATCAATTCACCTCTCCGAACCAGCGCATGTCTTGGGCTGACGCCCCAGTGGTCGGTCATCCCTGGGACCAGCTGCTGGGGGCCAGGTTCATTAACGCTTTGGAGACTCAGGTCCTCCCATGTTGGGGAGAAGACCCATGCAGGGCTGAGAGGGATAGGCAGTGCCTCACCCTTCCTAGAGCACTGGGCTTCTGGGCTTCATCCGTCCACCTGGGGATCTTACAACATTATAAGTTTCACTGAAGAAAGATGAGGGGAAGGAATCTCAGTGGAATTCTGCAGAAGCCTTGGGCTTTTGTGCAGGAGCTCGGGGTGTAGGGCAAAGGTGGCACTGGAGCCACTGCAGGAGACAAGCACATCATTCAGAGAGGTCCAGAGTCACCAGGTACCAGAGCATTCATCCCCAGGCTAGACCCGAGACCTCAATTCCTGCCCTTCCAGAAGCTGCCAGAAGCTACTAGTAACATGGAGTTTTGAATGGAATAATAAAGGCCCAGGCTAGAGGTACAGCAAAATATGGGTTAGGTCTTTGCTGAGCCTCAGAATGAGTTATTCTTGGTTTAAATAGTGCCATTCATGAAATTTCAGAATCTATATATGAGTGGGTCCTAGCACTGCTAAAATCCCCTCCTCTTTTTGAGTCTCCCATCAATATTCTTGACAGAGAGAAGGCTGATGATGGCATAGCTGGACTCTGGAAGTATAATCAGTCCACAAGCTGCTTGAATTTGGTGAAAATACTAAACTGATATTTAGACCACTTCAATTCTAAATCAGTTGTTTTTAGAAAAAAAAATTGACCACAATCAGATGCTAATAATAATAACTCAATGACATTGTTAATACCTTCCACAGGGTTGGGACCTTACCAACTTTATGAGAATAGGATTTGCCACTGGCAAGTTGCTCCACGCTCTAAAAAATGCTCTAAAAATAGAGCACCATTTATGGAAGGTCAGATTCCATGGACTGTCTTGGGAAGACTGCATCATTTCCTCTGGTGTCCCCCTGAGGCATGCCTGGGCCCAGTCATGCCCCTCCCAGAGGAGCCCAGCTCCTGGGAGGATAACCTGCAACTGACCTAAGGTAAGAAATAATAGTACTTGGTGAATGGTATTCTTTTCCTAGAAAATGGAATCATAAAACAGTGAGGAAATCTTTAGGAAAGGTACCTTTTTCTTGGATGTTTAAATTTGTTGTAAGATAAATCTGATCCAGAAGAGACCATGTACATTGAACATTCACCTTAGTTTTTTTTTTTTTTTTTTTCAGTAACATAATAGAAGGAAGCAAACCTCATCCGTGGATCATCAGGTGGCATCATCTCCAGATCATGGGTGGGTCCATTTAAGCCAATAACGTGTAGGGAAATACTGGGGTTCTCACTTCCAGCCTGGGAATTAAAAAGGGGCAGAGACATGAACAAGCAGCCTCATGCAAGAATGAACTTCAGCTCTGCAAAGCCTTTCCCAGGAGATTCCTCCATATTAAGGAGTAGAATTAATGTGGAGAACAGATGGTTCATGTGTAGGGTTTTCAAAAGGACAAAGGGCTAAGTGGGCTGATTCTTGCTCTTCTAGAATCCCACCCACTTCCCATTCCAACCAACTGCCCGGTTTGGCAATGTCAAGTGAATACTGAGCCCCTTGCTTAAAAGAGAAGTCAAGAAGAGGAGTGGAGGAGAAAAGATGGATTGGATGCCAGGAAGGGGAGAGTTGGAGGTGAGCAAATGATGGACATTGAGGAGCGGTGGCCATGCTTAGCATGGGGAGAGATTAATTCCTTCAAAAAGGAACTGGGGCACTATTCTACTTCCCTGCTCCCAACTCTCTGGGGGGCAAGTATGGGTCTGGGGAGAGATGTGGAGTTTCTTCTTCAGGGGGACTTCAGGGTCTTGTCTGATGCTCTCACTTCCATCCTGCAGAAGACGTTCAGGTTTACAGAGGCTATCAGGCCCACGACAGGGCATATCAGGCAGGCTTGCCTATTCATGCCTCTGAGGAGTGGGTGGGAATGGGGCAAGGAGCATCTGAATTCTGTCAGCCAGAATATGTTGATTTTCTATTAAAATATGAAACCCCAAATCTTGAGTAATCTGGGATTTCATAATCCCAGCTTCAGAGCACCTGTCTGAGGGTTCACTGTAAAATCAAGGGCACCCTACTGGATTCCAGGTTATCACTCCTAGATTGGGGAAACTCCCACAAAAAGACAATCATGGGAACAATTCATCTCCGGGTCAGATGAAGGTCAGACAGTCACCAGCTCTTCCGGTGGGTGGGGTGACTGTGAACAGCTGGTAAGAAACGTAGAAGGGTTAGAAGGAACTAGCATCAGTCCAGTACACTTTTCTCTATTTAACTATGCTTCCAACTAAAATCCTGGACCCTTCCACATGCTACAGACTAAGACCAATCAAGGTTAGCTGAAAAAGGAATGAAAGAATTCTGTCAAAGGCAAATCCACACATGTTAACGTCCAGATACTCTCAGAATCCAAAAAGGCAGAAAGGAAGGCTGTGGCCACAAGAGCCTTGTGCTTCTTCCTTCTGGGGTTCCCTTGGATGTTGGCCATGCTGATCAAAGGCTGTTGAAAAGAGCCTGTGTTACCAGGTGTATGGACTGAACATGTCCCTCAATTCATACAGTACAGCCCTAACCGCCAGTGTGATGCTATTTGGAAGTAAGGTCTTTGGGAGGTGATTGAGGTTAGATAAGGTCATGAGGGTGGCACCCTTGTGATGAGATCCGTGTCCATAAAAGGTGAGGAAGAGACACCAGAACCCTCTCTTGCCCTTTCATGTGAAAACATGGCAAGAAGGCGGCTGTCTGCAAGCCAGGAAGAGAGCCCTCACCAGGAACCAAATCAGCTGGAACCCTAATCTTGGACTTCCAGCCTCCACAACTATGAGAAAGAAATTCCTGCTGTTTAAGCTGCTTAGGTCTGTGTTATTTCGTTGTGGCAGCTGGAGCTAAGACACCAGGTATTTCCTTTCTCTAGGCTGTGACTCTAGGGACCTTACTGGTCTCATGTATCTGCCTTATATGTTATCACTCCTCTTGCTGCAAACTGTAAGCCAGCAGGTCTGTGGGGGTGATTATGGCAGAGCAGGTATATACTATCAGCTTTCAGAGCTCTCTGGTGGGCTAGGATGCTGAGGTTTAAATGCCCCCTGGCAGAGGCAGCTCATGGCAGGAAGTGAGCCTCCAGTCACCAGGCAGGGTGCAGGCAGGAAACTGCTCACCTCCATCCAGCCCAGGGGTCTTGGAGAAGTCTAGTGAAGCCAGAGGCCAGCACGGCAGACACTGTGTGTCCATGGGAGCTGTGTCCACACTCGGGCACTGGCCTCTCTCCAGATGAATGACTGTGGAGGTTTTAGCATCAGGCCCTCCACTCATACTGCGATGCTTTGATTTGGTAACAAAGTGAGATTTGGATGTCCCTGCTTCCCCCAATATTCCCTCCCAGCCACTGGAGACTTGCTGTTCTACCAGCTCATTGGGTCAGAACATGACTGTCTTGGTCCCTCTAGGCTGCTATAAAAAAATACCATAAACTGAGTGGCTCAAAAACAATAGCAATACATCTCTCACAGCTCTGGGGACTGGAAGTCCAACATCAAGGTGCAGGCTGGTTCAGTATCTGGTGAGAGCCCAATTTCTGGTTCACAGAGGATGCTTTCTTGCTGTATCATCACATGGTGGAAATAGGGAGGGTCTCTCTGGGATCTCTTTTATAAGGTGATATGGTTTGGCTGTGTCCCCACCCAAATCTCATCTTGAATTCCCATGTGTTGTGGGAGGGACCTGGTGGGAGGTTACTGAATCATGGGAGCAGGTCTTTCCCATGCTGTTCTCCTGATAGTGAATAAGTCTCACAAGATCTGATGGTTTTAAAAAGGTGAGTTTCCCTGCACAAGCTCTCTCCTCTTGTCTGCCGCCACGTAAGACATACCTTTCACCTTCCGACATGATCGTGAGGCCTCCCCAGCCACGTGGAACTGTGAGTCCAATAAACCTTTCTTTCCTAAATTGCCTAGTCTTGGGTATGTCTTAATCAGCAGCGTGAAAACAGACAAATCTATAAGGGCACGAATCCCAATCATGAAGGCTCTGCCCTCCATGTCTTGTCACCTCCCAGTGATCTCCCTCCTAATACCATCACCTTGGGGGTTAGGATTTTAATGTATGAATTTGGCAAGAACACAAACATTTAGCCTGTAACAGTGACCACGTGCAAAACAGCCTTGCCCAGACCCAGGGGACCACGGGCAGATGGAAGTCTTTCTGCCCTCCCAGAGGCCAAGTGCAAAGTAGAAATAAGATGCATGAGAGAGGTCAGGTGCACTTTCATCACTGGGGAGTGGTGAGGGGAGGTACCCTATGTATTTTGGTTCAGTGAAGTTCAGTCAGGTGATGAACAGAAGTTCGACTGTCTAAAAGAAGTAAACCTGCCAATGACTCAGTTCAACAGAGGTGGGAAAGTAATGCAATGTAATGAGACATGATTTATCTTTCTTTTGTTAACTGCTTTGCTCGTATACACATCTGATGATCATGTCTGCACACTGAGTGAGCAGGGCTGGGGTGCTCATGAATAATTTAAAGAATTTGCTGTGCAGTGTCCCTTTGCCTACCTTGGGATAGTGGTAAGGCTTCACGGTGGGGTAGATGGAGCCGGTGTAAGTTGGGAGCTCCATGAGGGGGACACGGGAATCATTGATGGTGGCGTAGGCGAGTCTCGTGCCGTCCGGAGACCACCAATGTGCGATGTGTGTCTTCAAAATCTCCTCTAAGGGAAAACAGAGTAGAGAAATGTGAATAGTAACAAGTGAGTGCAAATTGGAGCTGCACACACAGGAACATGAGGTGGCCAGGAAAGAAATGAGTCCCTGCAGAGTCCCTTATCTGCTACAACCTTTGAGGAATCTTCACTGTGTCCTGCACACACTTATATTTCTTGGGGGCTCAAGAAATGTCTGATGCTGATGACTAAGTCCAGCACAGGAAAACCTCATTAACCAAAGCTCAACCAAACAGATGCTAATCATCTGGAATTTTTTTTTTTCTTTCTACACATTTGAACACTATGAGCCCAACATGTACTTTTGAGTTGAACTATGATTGGACTATTGTTGATTATTACTTTAATATGATTAGAAAAACAGCACTGGAGAAAGTAAATTCACATGGAAGCATGTCCCATGCAGATGGAACCAAATGAGAAAGTGAGCTCTGGCAGAGGCTGAGTCCCCCAAAAGCAGGCCAGGGATTAACGCACACACAGAGCTCCCTCCTCAGATAATGAGTCCAAAGGCCCAGCATGCATCTTGCAGTACACAAAGGGTGCAAGCTCACTATGTGTGGTTTCTTACAAGAAGGGTACAAGCTCACTATGCATGGTAGAAAACCAAAATGGATCCATCTTCAGAAGGACTGAAATGAAAGACTGATTCTCTTGGGCTTCAACCAGAAACACCCATTATTCTTTCCTAGCCCATCAGTGTCCTGGTTAGAGTTTTAATGACAGACGAATTTTGTAGGGTGTGATCTCTATTCTAGAGAGGAAAATTCTACAGCATTTTTTTCAACACGTTGGGAGGATACACTTCCCAAGTGTAACCAGTCAGAGAACCCATTTCATTGTGAACAGCTCTCAGGTCAAGGGGTTCTGTCTTGTACAGGGTCTATATATCGTGAAACTAATTCCCTCTAGATTTGTTTCTAAAATAATGATTAAAATAATTTATGAGTCCCATTCAACTGGTTATTTTTAGGTGTGTACCACAAATCTTCTCTATGTATCTGTAGCGTAGAAAGGTGATTAAGGAGCTTGAAAACACTTTGCAGAAAAAAAATGAGGGCATTGAATACAACAGAACAACGTAAATTGGAAGGGAGCCGAGGGCTGACTGCCCACAGGAGGGCACAGTCCCAGATAAGGAAGAAGCAGCCCACATCAGCAGCCTCCCAGGTCCCGCGGGGAGGCAGCAGGAGGAGACCAGCTGGCCGGGAGGAGGGTTCATGAAGGGAGGCTTAGCACTGGGTCGGTGTCATCCATGGTGGCGTTTCACAGTCAAGCCCAGAGGCCTGAAGCAGGCACGCTGCCCATGCTCCTCCTGGGGTGGGAGCAGGAGCCAGCCTCGGAGGGCAGTGGGGCTGGGGGTCAGATGTGCCCACCTGCCCCCCCCCAGATGTCTGTGGCACCTGGTGTGGCACTGAGGGGGATGCTGCACCTCATTGAACCATGCTCCTCTGTCACACGAGTCTTCCTCATCTTGCCTTGGTCAGACTCCCCAGCAGAGAGCCCCCCACCAAAGGTAGTGCCAAGTCTGCCGCAGACTCCAGAACAACTCAGTGGATTCTCCCAAAATACAAAGCCTGTAGTGGGTCTGACCTCCTGTCCCCTGGTGCATCCCAGAGTACGGAGAGCAACACTCTGTGAAAAATGAATTCAGGAGCCCTGGTGCCCTGGACTTGAGCCCTAGTCCTGCTATGTGTTCTTAAGTCCTGATCTTCAAAGCTAGGGGCTCGACAGCCGCCTCTAGCGTCCCCTTTCCCTCTGCATCTGTCTCACAGCCTCAGAAGCTTTGGCAGTGCAGAAGCTCAGAAGCCTGCGGAGGTCAGTGAGGAGAAGACAAAGGAAGGAAGCCAGCCCTCCAGGGTCTGTAATTTTCCAGTTGCTTTGGCAGCCAGGAGGTGGATGTTCAGGTGCGAGTTTGGGATGAGGTGACTCAGAAGTGACTTTATGCAGAGTCACCGGATCTACCCGGTCTGCTCGCTTGCAATGGTGAGTAATTGACTCCAGCAGATGGTCTGCTGGAAAAAACAGGCACCATTTGCCATGCAATTTGTGGGTGATTGTGCTCAATCACGTCTGCACTGCAGGGCCACAAGAAAGGGGCCAATGGGGCTGGAGTATAGTCCCTGGGAGTGAGCAGAATTCACAGTGCAGAGGGAGAAGGTGCAGAGCCCACAGAAATCAGCAGAGGAGCCCTGCAGTGGTTTCCATGGGACATTAATTCACAGCCAACTTGGGAAAATCCAAAACAGAAAAACAGCTGCTGCAACAAGGGCTTTAAAAATGAAGCAGCTTTGGACAGAAACAAACAAACAACAATAACAACAAAACCCCTGAAGAGACAACTCATTTGTTTCTTTCCTCTGAACCCAAAGCAATCTTTTCTGAGACCAGAGGATGATAAATCATTGGCCACGTGCAACATCAGGCCACTTTCATTCCTACCCCGTAGGTTCCACAAGAGGCCACCAGGCAAGACGGGCAAGGGTCACCCCTCATTTCCACCCAAGATGGTTTGTATCTCATTTCTAGACTTGCTCTCTGAACTAAAGGAAATGCTACTGCTTGGTTCTGACCAGCACAGGCCAAAGTGGGTCATGCTCGTTGGGATAAGAAACTGAAAAAAATGTGGGTGAAGGCTGGCCGCGAGGCTGGGCTGAGAACGTTCTATTTCCATCGATCTCATCAGCAAATACCAGAGTGTTTCCATGAAGCTCAATTCACTCTTCAGAGAAATGGGACATAGAACAAAACCATCACTACAGATTATCAAATGTAATGGTTAGAAGGAAACTTACAGACACACCTTTAATCCCAGCCCTTTGGGAGGCCGAGGTGGGCGGATCACTTGAGGTCAGACATTTGACACCATCCTAGTCAACATGGTGAAACCCTGTCTCTACTAAAAATACAAAAATTAGCTGGGCATGGTGGCACACACCTGTAATCCCAGCTACTCGGGAGGCTGAGGCAGGAGAATCATCACTTGAACCTGGGAGGCAGAGGTTGCAGTGAGCCAAGATCTTGCCACTGCACTCCAGCCTGGGTGACAGAGTGAGACTCGGTCTCAAAAAAATAATAAAAGAAGAAAAGAAAAGAAAAGAACGGAACTTGGCGACCATGGGGTCATCGGGTTCAGGATGACAGGTATCTGGTGTGTACGATGGCAGAGGGTAGTTCCTCTCAATGTCATCCCACGTCGAGACGGTGGCACGTGTGAAGAACCTCTGCCATGCCAAAATGCTGGCCGTACAAAACTAGGGCAGCTTTAGTTTATTTTCTCTAAGTGTCCTTGAACACATCTCTCCTTGCCATTTTTATTTTCCTGTACGTTAGTTGCTCATTAACGTGATAATGAAGTATAAGAGACTAAGGGGTAAAAAAGAGCTGGGCAGAAGAAACCTTGACATTTTAGCATTAATTCCAAATGTCCCTATTCTGCAAACATTTTTCTGCAGAATTCCAGCTTAATGAGGCAGTTGGCTTAAATGCCATGCACCAAATGTAGTTTAGAAGCAGAGTTTTGCAGAAGAAGAAAACCTATTTCATCAATGAAATTAATTGCATGGACTCCTGACTTGGAGCAAAATGAATCACTTGGCTTTCTGAGCAAGTACAATTAACTCAGAAAAACTGGAGAATATATCTTTTCTTCACCTTCCCTGTCCTGCTGGGGGGCTATTTTAGCATCAGAAAAGAAAGATACATCCGGGGACAGTCGGTGGTCAATGGCTGCCTTTCTCGAAGATGCCAAAAGTTGTATCCAGAGCTTCAGCCCCAGGTAGGATCCGGGTTGTATATATATATATTTTTTTCATTTCTTGTCACTATACCTTGAAGAGGCCAGTGCCATTATTTGGAGTGTTACTCATTCCTGCCAAACAGCATCAAGGTCATAGCCAGTAGGACAAAATCGCTTCGCGCTCAAGGCGAGAAAGGCCAATGAAGAGGAATCTTTGCGTGGTGCATCCCGGAGTATGGAGAGCAGCGCTCAGTGAAAAGTGAATTCAGGAGCCCTGGTGCCCTGGACTTGAGCCCTAGTCCTGCTGTGTGTTCTTGAGTCCTGATCTTCAAAGCTAGGGGCTCGACAGCCGCCTCTAGCATCCCCTTCCCCTCTGCGTCTGTCTCACAGCCTCAGAAGCTTTGGCGGTGCCAAGAAGCTCAGAAGCCTGCGGAGGTCAGTGAGGAGAAGACAAAGGAAGGAAGCCAGCCCTCCAGGGTCTATAATTTTCCAGTCGCTTTGGCAGCCAGGAGGTGGGCGTTCAGGTGCGAGTTTGGGATGAGGTGACATTTTCCAGGTTGTTTCACAGAACTGGATGAAAAGCCGGCCACCACTATGATTTCATATTTGCCTAGTGAGGTTTAGGGTGGTTTGCAGTGGAGTCCACTGAACTGTTGTGCATATGTGCGCGTTGCTGATACAGACACTGGGCCCCACTTCAGGCAGGAGAATTGGTATTTGTTGGGTACAGTGAGGAGGATATAGGCTCCTTTTCTGCAAAACCTCATCAGACGACTTTGGTGCACATTCTGGTTAACAATGACTAGCTAGGAAAGAGGAAATCCTGGCATTTGCAACCTAACGGATAAACCTGGAGGACTTGTGCTCAGTGAAATAAGCCAGGCACGGAAAGATGAATGCTGAATGATCTCACTCACACGTGTGCTGTGGTTTGGAAGTGGTTTGTTTGTCCCCACTAAAGCTCATGTTGAAATCTAATTCCCAAAGTGGAGGTGTTGGGAGGTGGGGACTAGTGGGAGGTGTCTGAGTTATGGGGGTGGATCCCTCATGAATGGTTTGGTGATGCTTTCTTAGCAGTGAGTTCTCCCTCTGCAGAGAATGTGATGCACCTCCAAGCTTATATTAAGTCCCCCTTTAGAACTGAGGAATTGGAGGTTCAGGGAAATTAACCTTATCGAACAAAGACTGAGTACTCAATACACACAACTACCTAGGGTATAGTAAGGTAGAGACAAAGCTTCTACGTTTG